TAATGCCGGGGGCTTAAGTGGAGAGGAAATGTTTTGAGAATGATGAGGGCAATGAATGTACAAATGCACTTTACACAATTGATGTGTATATGGATTGTGATAAGAGTTGTATGAGCCCCTAATAAAATGATTTTTAAAAAAAAGAAAGAAAAACATTGTGAATCATGGATCTGATATAGAATACGGAAAGAATGTCAGCCTAGTCCATCCCCAGGGATCAACTTGCAGCCAACCCACTGGCAGAGATAGATTCCAAATGCTAGTGACCCTATCGATGTAAGGTTTCTGTGACTGTAAATCTTTATAGCAGCAGACAGCCTCATCTCCTCTTGAGAATCTGCTTGTGGGTTTGAAGCACTGGCCTTATGGCTAGCATTAACAAGCACTACCAGGCTCCATACAAAAAAAAAAAAAAAAGCATCCAACAAACCAAATCCCACCGCATCTAGTCACTTCAGACTCATAGCAACCTTATTTGGGTTCCCAAAGCTTTGTAAATCTTTATACGAGCAGATTATCTCATTTTTCTCTCAGGGAGTAGCTATTTGCTGGATTTGAAGTACGATTAGCAGTCCAATGCTCAACCAACCACCAGGGCTCCTTAAGAAAGAAAAAAGGCAACTCATATATCAGGAGAAAACATGACAAATCATGGATCTGAAAGGGGTTTATATCTAGAACACTTAAGAACGCTTGCTGTCCATCGCCAGGGGCCACCATGCATGTAGTCAGTCAGGCCGGGAATAAATGTTTGTAAAGAGCCTGCTCCAGAGAACAATCAACAATCCACAGCTGTCAAGTCAGTTCCAACCCATAATGACCTGCAGGACCTAGCAGAACTGCTCTGTGGGGTCCCAGAAGCAAACCTTACACACAGCAGCCCAGTTTGTTATGCACTATACCACCAGGGCTCCAAAAGGCCAGCACTTGCCCCAAAACCAAGCTCTGAAGCCAAGAAGGGGCAGGAAAGAAGGAAAAATGGATAAGGAGAGTGCCCACAGGTGGTGTAAAGAATGTCATTACACTGAAGCCTTTGCACTGTTAGGAAAAAACGTTTACATAAAATTATTAATGAATGGGAAGCTTATTTGCTTTGTAAACGTCCACCTACACCACAATTCAAAAAGAAAATCTTTTTATTGTTAGCTGCCCTTGAGTAAGCTCCTAACTCATCCTGACTCCTTATACAACTGAGCCATTTCCATAATTGGATTGGACCTTTGCGATCTATAGGGTTTTATTAACTGGCTAATTTTCCAAATGAGACGGTCACTTAAAAGTCAGTAATAAAACAAGTAACCAAAAGACCTGAACAGGTATTTCATCAAAGGGAACTTAAAGGGTAGAGTCGAATCCTTTATCTTTCAGTTACCAGCAAATTATTGTAGCCATCTGCACCACCCAGGGACTCCAAAGACATCTATTTGTAGCTTCCATACGGGTGAGAGGACATAGAATGAAATTAATAAAATCAAGCATGAATTATTAGTCTTCCGGGCTTCCACTCATGTGGAAGGCCCATCAACAGCACTGTCGTTTTTTTCAATTGGGTTGTTTGTCTCATTGACTCACGGCAGTTCTAAGACAGACGGGGTAAATATAAACCTGTTGCTGATTTTGAAATCTAGTACGGTCCAAAAGCAAAGAGAGTTCCTGACTTCCCACAATTATGGATACTCCCCAACTTATGTTTCAAAGTTCTGCATATCTTTTTGGCTGCTCCCCCAAAACCAAGTTCTCACTGAGAACCAATACCTGCACACTTACTTATAAACAGAGTTCTAACTCAATGTCTTCTAGGGAGAGATCTCTTCCTAGTCACATGAAAATACACGTGTATTTTGTATGAAAAGGGCAACTAAGCCCAGGCCACATTTTCACTGTCATACCAACACACGATTCGGTAAACAAGTACCTATTTTAATTAATAATTGTTAAAACTGTTAACACTTAATAAATAACTATCATATTCATCAAGATGTCTGAGACAACAACTGAGTTTCTAGTTTACCCAATGGATTGGGTAATATACCCAACAAATGTAAAAATTGAATTTTTTTTCCAACCACATTTACACACAATCAATTGTTTACAGATATGGCAGCTGGGCAGACTCATGACCCACCTTTAGTGACAAGTAGCTGCTCAAAAAAGTTGACTTCATTTACAAGCGCACTATCAAACGTGAGTCGCAGAAGCATACCCCCGGTCCCTTAGAACGCTTAATCGCAGCCCTTTGTTTTTCAGGTACGGTACCTGCCATCCCAAAAGTTAAGAAACTTGCTCTCCACAAATCCCGGGTCCTAATCGCGGCATGATGCATTTTCAGATCCCCCAATTCTAAAACGCAGGTCCTTCCATCCCTTTACAAGACCAGGTATACGTGTTACAGAACTGGAAGTAGCCCCCCACCCCCACCCCTTCCCGCTTCCCGTTCCCACCCACCAGTACGGTCCACAAACAGACCAAGCACCAAGCAGGCTGTGGGGAACGTCTGGCCCTAATTGCATGCGGCGTCCGAGCACCTGGCTACAGCCCCGGCGCTCAATCAGTCGAGATTTAAATTTACCCTCCATCCGACCCGACCCGTCGGCTCGCAGGGCGCGCGGGGCCGGCGCCCAGACCGCCCTCCGACGTCGGGGAGCCGGGGGAGCCGCGGGCGCCGCGGGAGCGAGGCGAGCGTCTCGGCGGCGCCGGGGAACCAGCCGCGGCGCGGGCGGCTCACCTTTGCGCAGCTCCCGCTCCCACACGGTGACGATGGGCCGCGAGTGTTTGCGGTGGTGGATGAGCCACAGAGACAGGGTCTGCACGCTCTGCTGCGAGTTGCTCAGCTCCGACAGCTTCTTCTCCAGCGCCGCCTCGGAGAAGGCGGACATCCCTCCGACACCGCGCTCACGCCGTCCCACGCGCCGGGGCCGCGGGGAGGAGAGTTTCACCGCCCTCGTCGCGGCCTCGCCCCCACACCCCCCCTTCCCCACGCCCTC